ACGCGCTAATGCTGAAATTAAATGGGATAAGCCACTTTACCAGAGCGGACTTATCTGAGTCCGTAAAGTTCGAGGAATATAATTTTAACACTTTAGGGCCGCCACTATTCACCTTAAAGTCTCCAGCAACTGCAGTAACCAACCGGACGAAAATTGAATTACGAACTCAAGGGTAAAATCGTCCAATTTTTTCTGCGTAACCTGAAACTAAACCAATAATATTAGTACATTCAGAAAATTAAAGTAAATAAACTGCCTGAAGGAATCGTCGCCTGAAAACGCCCCACCCGTCGCCACACTCCTCTGAGCGTGGGCTTCACGTGCCGTCGGAGAAGCTCACGCGCCGACCACCCAGCACCTCCTCGACCTGCTGAATATGCTGGTGGTCTTGGTTTTTTCAAATGACCACTGGTTTGGCCGAAAAAGTCGATTGTAGGTGCCTTTTTTGGGGAAAATATGGACAGCTTCTTTCTACTAGTTTCTGCTACATTTTTGGTCGATTTCTGATCAGATTTTGGAACCCAAACCACCACCAACTTGCTCTGATACCAAATGTTGAATATTAGGCTCTAATCACATCAAAAAACTGGGCTCAATCTCACACAAACGACACCAAAATTCGCAACCCAATCCGAAACTAACACAAAACCCCAAACGATTGCTCTACAGTTTCTGCCCACAAAGGACTGAATGTGAATATTATTGGGAACTAAGAGTTCAGTCACTAAGGCTAAGAGAAAGAAGAGAAGAACGAGTACAGACGACACAAAGCTAAGGAAAGAGCACCAAGCCAATAACGTTCTTTTTCTCTCAAAAATGGCTGCCCAAAATTTCACACCTATAGCAATAGTAATGGAGCAGTGGGTATATAGGGAAAATAGGTATGGACTTTAGGTTAGAAAATATAGGGCCCAATAAGAAATATGTAAGTGGGCTAACAACCGAAAAAACGATCCAAATGTTGGGTTGGGCCATGAGCAGCACTAATTTAATTAGGCTGCTTCAAATGGTCCAAGTGGATTACGTGACAGGTTTAGACAATTGTGGTGTCTACATTTCACTTCACTCATTAGCCTGGGCCTATAAAGTATAATTCCAAAAAAAATGGTTTAACATCATCGTCTGAATTTATTGGGTATCAAAACCCAACAGTGACAAATAATTTAAAATTTTAAAGGATGACAAACAATGCCTAATTATATTGCTGTCGTATTTATAATCGAAAAGGGTTTGATTTTGATGGGTTGGCTGTGGTAAGAGTCCGAAGAAAAAATAAAAAATAAAATACACAAAAGATCCGGGTTCATTCTCGTCCGGTTGAACCGAACCGGAGACCAAGAATATTACCCAAACTGTAAAGCGCCTCGAATAAACCCCTCATCTATTACGAAAATCTTTTAGGTGTGCAGTTGAAATTTGCTGAAAGAGAAATGGAAACGGCTGCTTCTCACATAACAACGGACATCCCAACCATATGGGATTTCAGCTGGTATTTCTCTATGTTTTTATGTATTTCTTTGTATATAGATATTGTGAATTTGATGGATATTCTGCCCTATTTTTTGCTGTAATATTTACTTAATCGAATCAACATTTTGTTGGGGGCGTTTTTCTCGCTTTATGAGAATTATTGCTTTTAATTGTGACTATGCCCTGTTTAATGGGGATTAAAATCAGATTTTTAAGTAGATTTTGATAAAAATTGATGAAATGTGTGGTTTAAAAGTTGTGGCTATGAAATGTTTGGTTAAAATTAATTATTGAGTTTGAGGTATACTTGGATTAAAATATGGATTTTAATTTATACAAAAGAGTATATATGGTTTTCGTACGACCATGCAAGGAAATTAATATGGACTAGTGAAAGCTGTATTATAGAAAAGACCGTTTGATCGAAGAGTTTTTCTTAAAAGTGACTGTGTTATTTCTGAAAGTTTCTGATTTTCATTTTTGCTGCTGAAGCCTTGAACAGTATTTTGTAGATTTCCGTCTAATAGTCTAGAGAAAGCTCTATATATTTTTTTTTTTAATAATTCTTGATGATAATCTCATCTTTGAAAGCTTCTCTTAAATTTGGATTCGATTGACTGATGCTCCCTTGTATAAATTATTGGACTTGTACTTTCATGGTTGAAAGTAAAATGTAGAAAATTTATGTAATAAATCATAATTATGCTTCATTGAACTTTCATTTTATGTCATCTGCCCTTGCTTTGTACTGCACGATCCATCCCTGTAACTAAGTGCTTGATATTGGTTTCCGTAGATTTAAGTTGCAAATTGACCATTTGTTCAAAAGGTTTTAATGAGACACTTTTGGCTTCTTTTTTCCCCACCTAAAGCTCACAATTTGGATATGCTTACATTCGTATATTGGATAAGAGAAGTGTTGGCAGAAAAAACCATGTAACCAAATTATTTGAGAATTGGGATTAAAAAATTTAACCTGTAAAACTATTGATATTATTCTATTTTATTTACTGTGTATTGAGTTTGCAACTTCATTAACCACCATTTTCGTTATTCTATGTTAAGTCCCCTAAGGAGCTTAATTGTATCCAATCCCCTAGGAATTTCGCTCCCAATCTATGACCAATTGTGGCGAAGAACGGAGAGAGACATAGAAGAATACAGAGGAGAAGAGAAGAAACTCGAGAGAGGAAATATAGGAGAAGAGAGGGGAGAACGGATATAACTCAATAATCAATCATAAATAGTCTACCAGACTCTGCAAATTGATGCTGTAGTCCCCATTTTACAATTGTACAAAAGTTAAATTTAAGGGAACTTCTAAATTCTAATATGTTAGAAGCTTATCAGATTTTAAAATCCTAGTTAATCATACCTAGTCTAAATCAAAATCTAATTTTAATCCTATTTCTCCTAGGTCACATTTTGAATTTTGCATCAAATGGTCTAACTACATTTAATGATGGCATTTCCATTTTCAGAAAGAAAGTATGATTAGTCATGCTGTAGATCAACATCGACTGATATAAGGCCAATGTTTTGGCACATATATGACAATTAGATTTTATATTAAGATAAAAATCAGAACAAATATGTTCTTCTCTTGATTTATTCAAGTGACTACATGGTTAATGTTTGTATATCCATGGGTGTATGTAAAATAGTACGAGCTGATTTTGTTATTGATTATAACGTTTTATTGTCATTATATGATCGAGTCAGTAAACCTAAAATGATATCTGCAGTGACTTGGAAGTAGATTATGAGTCCGAGGAAAATGCTAGCATGGTGTACTCAGCTTTGGCCGTTGATAAGGAGGTAAACATAATATGCCATCCCTGGTTTGCACTTCCGTTGAATTCTATGTTTAAATTATACTTCGATTTCAATGACAGCTGCAGCCAGACAAGGTGAAAAGACAGATGACAGTCTCCAATGGGAAGCTTTCAGTGTGAGCAGTCCTTCTGTTTACCTCTGTTTTATATGTATTTTCAGCATATTCTGAGAAATTATTGTTAGTTTTTTGGACCATTTAGGAGAGTTAACTTTCTATTAATTTGCATTTGCATTACTGGAATCACTTAATATCGCTGCTTAAAGTAGTGTTACCGATTTGGTTCTCTCAATGCTCGAACACGCACTCCAGATTTGGACCCAACTGTCAAAAGACTAATATTTCACAAGGAAACCATTGTGATAAAACATTTTTTTCTTCCATCCACATACCTGACCACTGCAGATAAGTCCATCACCTCGAACTAAACTACTTCTTGCCTTCACAATCTTAACCGAGAATCTCACTGCTGTAGTTTAGAGCTAATGATAATAGCTCCTAATCTCTTGAGAAAAAGTTTTCAAATAAATACTAGTCTTAACACAATTGAAGAATACCATGACTTGAGTGTTTTTGGTTGGTTGTATTACTTTATCATAATTTTATATTTATCATCTTGCTTTTAGATTTTTGCACGTGGAATTTTTTGGATTTGATAGTTTTTCAATTTTCTTCGATTCTCCGTATTCTTTGCAAATCGACCAGTTATTATAGCGTTCTTAGGATTCAACATAAAATTAAAAGGTTGTTAGCGAATGTTTGTGTTTTCATCATTTTTATACACGCTTCCACACATCAAGACCTTAAACGTAAGTAAACCTTATGGCTGCAGGCTTAATATTTGTCAATCATTTCTTTTGCATATTTCAAACTTTCTCCTATGTTTTAAGAATTTTGAACCGTGATTTCTCCTACTCTTCCTCATTTATGTGCAGGCATTTTGAGGCAGTTGAAGCAAGATTTCTTCGTGCATCATATAGTGCTTTTGTTGACGTTCTTATACTCGCAACCAAGACTATTGAAGAATTTGGTAAAGGCATGGAATTGTAACATGAATGAGATGTTGCCATTGAAATATATCATTGATTAAACCCCTGTTTCGTTTAATTAAAAATTATATTTTTAGTAGATTTTGATAGTCTTGATGAAATAAGTGGAAAAGTAGATACAAGTTGTGGGTCCAATGAATTGTTTGGTTGAAAATGAAGAAAACAGAGAGTTTTGGATTATGGGGGTCTAACAGGGGCTAAGTGTTATCGTTCATGAAATTATGATTAGTTTTAATACCAATTTGGTTGATGTTCTTATTGTATATTATAAGAAATAGCCCCATCTATCAAGTTATTTCGTGTAGCAATTGATTGATAATTCCATAGATATTAGATACTCGATAAATTCGTGTTAAATAGTAGACAATTAATGATTTTTCCTGCATGCATTAGGAAATCTTATTTATTTCAATTATTTTCCAGCAAATTACTGTTGGGGTCCTAAGCTTCCATTTGTGACCTCCAAGTCCATCGCTGATGAAAAATGTGTAGTGCTGCACACATAATATCCCCGAAAAGGGTGAAAATGTCCAAAGCAACGCGTCTGATGAATCATAAGGGTGTCGAGCTTTGGAAATCAAGTAATGTTTTATGAAAGATTGCTTATTGGAGATTTTGTTAACGAAAGGAAAAATGAGTTTATAGACATTTTTACCCTTTAAGCAGGCTTCACAAGAGTGTTGCTTGCTAATTTATTAGCTTAGATAAAAAAATTTCGTCAGTTGGTAATGAAGAATGCACGCACACTTTCCTTAGTTTGGGGGACCTAGATCTAAGAATGGAAGGTTGTGAACCACATTGTTACAATAAGCAAAAGTTGGGGACCCCAACTGAACTTTACCATAATATTAATAGAATTAGCATGAAACGAGCCTCTTTAAATAGCAACACCTGAACTCGCCTTTAATGTATCATGTTGCTTTATAATCATTTCTATTACTAATTTGAAACTTTAATGTTAAAATAGACTTATTTCTATTTTCATACAAATTAAGAAAATATAATTAATATAGTTGAAAATATAAATTTTTCTTACATTCTTTCTACTATACTCATACATTAAATAATTATTTAAATACAATTAATTTATATTTCTTAATAACAAAGTACATTAATCTCATGTTTGACATTCATTAAATAAAAACTATTTTTTTTTTTAAAATTCATTTTCAACCACACGTTTAAACAGTAAAACATTTACAACTACACATTCTCAAAAAATTCACTATTTTCAAAACTTATTTTCCCAAAAATCTAATGGATATCAAACATGGGCTGAATATGAGCATATTAGAAAATTAAAAAATATATTTTTTTTTCAATAAGAAAAATGACTTATAATTTGGGAGTGCGAAAAAGAAAACTAAGTCTATCTTTAAGGAATAAAGGTAGTAATTGAGTAATCATATTTAGCATCACTTATTTTATAATATAACTATAGGTGATGTTAAATGTCATTAAATGAAATGTATAATTAAACGAATCAAATAATTTCACATTTAATTAAACATGTCACATAACGTCATATAGACTAATGTTTTAGAAGTAATGCTACTTGCATTGCTTACTGCAGCAGTCGCTCTATGTGGCACACACATGACATGTAATTATTTGATGCATTAATTTTGTAGTTTTTTTACCACATTTAATGTATCATTGCACACATGACATATAGTTATTTGATGCATTAATCTGATAGTTTTTTACCACATTTAATGTATCAAATACACACTTGATATGTGTGTGCCACATAGGGCGACTGCTGCAGTGAGAGATCGCAAGTAGCATTATTCAATGTTTTAGTATTATTGGTACGAGATAGCATTATTGTTAGTAATTAATACTAGTTGGAAAGATATATGTGCTCTTTGGAACATTTTCCCATACATTTATGCCACATTCCATTACTAGTATAGCAATAATTGGGAGAAAAATATGTTACAGCGGTCCAAATTCCAGTGGTGGCGGCTTCATGTGGATATAATTGCCTGTTACAGATCCCAAAAGATAAATTTTGTGTTACTAAAATCGTTTACGAGCCACGTTAATTGTTTTTTAACTATCACTTGGATGTTCTCCAATAACATTTGGAACCCATGCAAAAAACAAACATTACAAATAAACTTCGTCCATAATAATCAAACTCGAATAGTGAGCTTATACTGATTAATGGAGCAAAATAAATGAACAATCGGAATCATAGAGAGGCGTATTAAACTGGATAGATGCACGTTTAGTTAAAGCTTCTAGACGAGTTTATTCAAATTGATATTTTTGTTTGTAGTTATCTAATTAATAGCACGTGTTTTCACTTCAATAAAAAATGTATCAAGGTGGTTATACAAGATGTGACGAACACAATATTTAAAAAATAAAATTTTATGACAATTTAAATTTTTAGGTGAAAGTTTAGACAAATTAAGTTCAATGTAAAGTACATGGAGTCAAAAGCGGCTAGCGTAAAAAGATACATCACATGAAGAAATTGAGGCATTACGTCGTAAACCTCTATTGAAGACTAAATATATGTATATCTGCTATCTGCTAAATAAAAAGTGGTGATAAGCTTTCTCGGTCGAGTTCGTCGCACTGAGTTTGCCTAGTGTAGTTTACCTCTCCTGCGTGGTTTGCGGATTACTGCACATGGAACGTGGTTTACCTAATGCGATCTCACAGTGGTCGGGGCTCCACTGGAGGGTAGCGGCTGCGAGTTCCTACGTCAACAAAAAAAAAAGTGGTGATAATACTCAGTTTTTTACCCTCTTGCTAAAAGGAAATGATTTTTGTTTTTCAAATAATCAAATACTTTTCCTAAACCACAAATACATGATTGCTTCCATTTTTACACAGATTAAGAAAATGTAATAATATAGTTGAAAATATAAAATTTTCTTACATTTTTTTTTAATATACCCCTACATTAAATAATAGCTTAGATATGAATAGTTAATATTTGTTGATAACAAGACACATCAAATAGGTACATATTGAAATATTAAGAAAGCAACTATATTTTCATTAAAGAAATTGACATATAATTTGGGACACACGAATAATAAAAGCAAATCTATTTTTATGAGACGAATGGAGTTGTATATTTTGTGATACAAGGGCCAAGGCAAATGTGGAGAATCTGAATCAAATTATCAAATACAAGTTGTATCTTGCATCATCGAAAATATCTCCCCCCGCTGAAAATGGTAGGATATTTGAGTTTGAATTTATGCAGCGTTCATCTCTTTAATTTCTATATTATTTATAGCTTCATATCATTATGTACTTTCTTTTGTCAACATGGACTTCTATTGTTAGCTACAATCTACATTTCATAAATTCAGCAACGCTACTTCTGGGTGTAGGGAAAAGCAATCGTGAAAGTGTTGGTATATTATCTTGTGATAATTGAAACAAGATGCCGAGTCCTAAATATTGTGAGATACATCAATGCATATATAGCATATGTTCTCATGCTAAAGGCAATTTCCAAGTAGTAAATAACTGTTATTTTTCCGTGTGGAGGTTGATTTAGGGTTGTAAATGGATCGGATCTGTCTATATCTAATCTGCTCCGATCCGATAATCCAATGGATATTTAATTATTAAATTCATATCCAATTTGCTATGTTATTGAATATTCGATCCGATAATCCGATTCGAAATTAATAAAAATTAGGAAAAAAATCGGATCCGGTTTTTCTAAATAAAATGATTTTATGTTCTTTAAAAAATTTTGAACTAAACTTGAGGTCCACTTGTTTTTACTAGCAAACTCAATAGTAACTCCTATCACTATGATGTTCCTTTTTAAATGAGAGGTCTTCTTCTGTTTTTCTATTGACATTCGATGTGAGATAAGGTAAAATTGAATTTCAATTCTAAATATAAATATTTTATTTCATTATTTCTATAAACAAATCAAATTATTTGTTACATATTAATTATTAGTTTTTGAAATTGTAAAATTAATTACAATAATAAATTTAATTAAGAAAAATATTATAAATATTTTATTTCATTATTTTCATTATCAAATCAAATTATTTATTACATATTAATTATTAGTTTTTGAAGTTGTAAAATAAATGATAATAATAAATTTAATTAAGAAAAATATAGATATTTATTTATTTTAAATTAGTAAATTAAAATTAAAAAAATTTATTATTTTTACAATATTTTACATTTATGTGTATAATTTTTCATTCAATTTGACAACAGGTTCGTTACCGATTCGACACCGATTCGACTTTTTGACCATTGACCATCTTCCTTTTTTGGGTCGATTTTTAAAATATTGGTTGAAATCAAAATTTTTTTTTTTTTCAAATTTTCCAATTCTTAAACAGGTTTAGTAATTATAAAATTTTCAACTTTTTTATGTTTTGAGTTTGATTACTTTTTTATTCTAAATTTATTTATTTTAGTGACAAATAATATGTCATAAAAATATTTTACCGACTCAATTATTTATAACAAATCGGATCAGATTAACCTATATCCATATTTGATCCATTTAATTAACGGATTATCCGATTCGGATCTTGATCGGATTGAGACCCTAAATCCATCTCCCATTAATTTCGTCGGATTCGGATCAAAATTCAATCTATTGACAGCCCTATGTTGATTATTGCTTAGATTACTTAACTTATGAACTATGCACTGCAGGGGTGACTCCAGGATTTTTGTTAGGGAGAGCTAAATCTTAAAAAATAAGTAAAATTTATATATAAAAAATCTTTGTTTTTCGTTCATGTTGACATCCATTTAAGATAGTTGTCTGCAAGAGCAGAAGCGGAGGCTCTTGTGATGTGGAAGAATAGTTTGTCTTCAGTCCCTTGGAAATCTTTGAATCTTTGCAGATTGAGAGGAATTTTCTGCAACTACGAGTAATAAACTTATTTGATGCAAATGTCAGGGATGTTGATAAAAAATGGATTTAAGCAATGATTTTAAAATCAAAATTGAACTTACTGACCTTACAAAAATTGGACAAAGTAA